ATTAGTTTTAAGTATGGATAAAGTAGAATTTAGTTTAGTATGTTCAAGTTCTATACTAAACTATTAAATTTCTCAAAACTATTAACTGGCACAAAAGTTATATTCTAATCATGCATAATAGATCAGTAGCCTTGTTGCTCTCTCTCCATAGTTTTTGGTTTCTTTCTTGCTAAACAGAGATTTCTAGCTTGGTTCCCTTTTGCCACTCTCTCCATCCCATGAATTTTATGATCATTTATTGGCATTGCTCTTGAGGGTGGAGCTGTGAATCTGTGACAGTTTCAGAGGATGGCAGAGGCACATGTGCTTCTATTATGTTGGGTTGGGGGAGAGGAGGTGTGGCTTGTGAATGCTTTGGATGAATTCTGCTAGATAAAAGATGAAAGCTTGTGGGTTAGGAATTGTAAGGGAGTGATCACATTCTCTGGCTAGCTTAGGATCAAACAAGGGAGGTAAGTTTTTGATAATCACTTAGCATTTAGGCATGTCTGGCAAGTGCATTGTTATTCCTTCAAGGTTAAGAAGCAGACAATTGGTGGTATATTGTGATAGCTTTTGACATTGTCATAGGGATTCCTATCCTGTGCCCATAATAGTGATTTTCGACCTAAGCCCCTTCTTCTCTTCCCAGAATCATTTTGATTTCGTTTGAGAATCCTTTTCACAAGGTTGTTCCTATATGGTTTCAGTTGTTTTTCCCGCTAGCAAGGTATCAATTCCAGTGTCCATGCGTGTCACTTTTCTAGGATTGTTTGATGGGGCTGTGAGTGGCTTGGGTTTGAAGAAGGATTTGGGCGTAGTTCCAAGTTGGCTTAATTTTGAGTTTCAAAACCCTTAATCATTTGTCTTCTTGCAGTTTGAACTTGCTCTTGGCAGCAAAAGAAAGCCCAAGGTTTTGGTATGAGTTCCAATAAAGGGGAGAAAATGAAGTAATTGGTCTTTAATTCAGGATTTCAACTACTAGGCTAGGTGGTGTGGTTTTCAGAGAATCAGTTAAGGGTTTGCTGAATCAGAGGCATTGTTTATCTTCATCGTCTTCGTCTAGTCCATCTATTGGGTATATGACAGACATGGACGACCTCTCTTCTTTGGGAAATTGGGGCTATGTGTAGTTACTATTGATAAGTCTAGTAGAATCTCTTTATGATAGATGTATCTTGGCCTTGGTAATGATGAACTTCAAGTTTAAGTTGGTGTCTAGGTGCGAGGATGTTGTCTAGGGGGATCTCTCGGTGCGGGATTATGCTGGTAAAGGGGAATTGGAGGTTTCTAGTGCTGTGTTTGTGGTGGAAGAAGTTCAGGTTGAGGTTTCTCATTTGGTGATGAATGGTATAGCTAGAATTACTCGTTTACAGGGGGTGAGTTTTAATGGGCTCCAGGACTAGGCTGTTGATCTGTTTAGGCTATTGAAGGTAATGAGATTTTTTTTTGTTGGGGGGAGGGGGAGAGGGGGATAAATCTCATTTGACATTGTGGAATGCATTCTTATGAGAGTTTATTTTATAAGCGTAGTTCCTTTCTTTTTTTTTTTTTTTTGAAATAAAAAGTGGAAATCTTCTAAGTTCCTTTCTTATGATGGTTTCTGTGCTGCATGGACCAAGCATATTTTTAGTAAACAGGTCTAACAGCAACTAACTTGCTTCAATATATTTTTTTCCTAAAGGAAAAAGAAATCACATTAGTAAAGCAAATGTTGCCTGTATACAAAATTATTTTGTAGTAGAAATTTGCTACTTATTTTTGTACTCTTTTTCCCCTTCATTAATATATTTCTTTTTTTTTTCTATAAAAGAATCAGATAAATGAGGTCTTAACTATTATCTTCTATATTGGGTTTGTATGATTTCTGTAAACAGAAAAGTAATTATTGGATGCTTGGTGCTTACCTCATTCATGATTAATCTTTTCTTAGGATTCTTTTTCAAGCATTTTTTGGCAAGTTGTGCTATGTGATAGAGTTGAAGTCTATCATGCTCATCGATGATGGTTGGATCAAGTAAATCATGGTATCGTCTTTGTCTCAGAAGTTTTCTTGCCTGCACAACAGTTACTGTATGAAAGTTGCATATAGGAAATCTGAAAAAAATAAGAAATATGAATTGAGCAATTCGTATTTCTTGTTTATTAAAATAAATAGACTAATTAAAAAAGCCTAAAGTCACGATTGCTAAATAGGCTAATTAATAAATTTCAAGACCTTGGTGATTAAATTCAAATCTAAAATCATGATGATTAAAAAGCTAAGCAATATAGTCTTAAGTCATAGTGATTAGATCTATTTTTTTGGAAGAAGGCAGTCCTCTGTTTCGTATTTACTTCTATCAAAATTTAAGCAATGAACCCTCAGAGGATAAACAAAAAAAAAAAAATATCAAGTCCTGGAGATTGGTAAATTTTTTCTAACAAGCCCAAAAACCTAATTCTACATATCTTATTCCATGGCTAGATGACTTCTCTAGGGCACTCGAACATATAGGTGGAGTTCCCACTAAATTCCCTTTAGCTTAGTATTTTACTTTGACATTAAATAAGAAGTCTGTAGTTAGGAATCGGTTAAGTTGTTAATTTTTAAATCCTAATTGTCGAAGCAAGTCTAAAAGAATGTGATGTTGGTACTGCTGTGTTGGGAAATGATCATCCTTGTAACGCAATAGGTATGCAGACAACATGATTAGGTCCACTTACTAAAAAGAAGTTTTCAAACCACAGGCTCGCATCTAAATACTTTGTCTTTCATATTCTGGTTGCATCAAACTGATTGTTGTAATAATATGAAAAATTTAAGTTGCAGACTCAAATAAAACTTCATTATGTATCAGACTGATTCATTTTTCTCTATAACTAAGAATTAAAGAAATGGTTAATTCTCACCCATTTCACAATATTTTTCTCTATTGATCTCCATTCTGTGATCAGCTCCAGTAGAACCACCCCAAAGGAGTATACATCTGTTTTTTCGGACAGTGTGCCAGTCTTCAAACACTCTGGTGCGAAGTATACAGATGCCTTGTCATTTTTGTGCTGTAAGGAATGATCTGATTTCACTTTCAGGAACCCAAAATCTCCAACCTTGCAGCATATTACACAAAACAAAAAATTTCAGTTCAACAGATGATTGAAGGAGATTAATCCTCTTGTTAGACACATACACACAATTATCAGAGAAATTGTCATTACCAATGGTTCAAAATCATGAGTTAAAAAAATGTTGCTTGGTCTCAAATTTCCATGAATTATGTGATTCTGATGAAGATAATTCAATCCCCTGGATGCACCTACAGCTATCTTCATCCTCTGAGTCAAAGTCAAATTCAAGGGATGATGTTCTGCATTGTTCCAGATATTTAATATGGTATTAGATCCATAAAGAAAGTACCTTGATATTTACACTTACAAATTTAATGTTAAGGAGAGTACTAGTTTTTTTCTGGCTGACAAAGTGTGGAAATGGGCAACTAATGTACCCAACCTCATTGGACAAGACAAATGGGGTTAGCACCCATTGACAGTTTGAGCTGTAGCTACTGACTTTAGGGTGAGTCCATCACCATAAGCTAGAATTAAGTAAATGGACTCTCTTATTATGGCTAGAGCTATGGACAGGTATCATATACAAGTTCAAAACAATAACCACCGTGTCAAAAAATGGAGTCCTTTACCCCTTGGGCTGTCATTTCGGTGGTTAAGGACAGTATAAGTAAAAAGGGTTTTGATTTAGAACCAATCACTATAGACTACTATAGTGGTGATAACTTTAGTATCTTTTAAGCAGTGGGTTTGAGTTAGCTTAATTAGTGAGTCATTTATGTTGTACAAGAAATTGGTATGAAATTCCCCTCGTACATGAGGGAGAAAAATAAAGAAAGAGACGGTGCCTCTCATTGTGAAGGTCATTAACTTCAAAAAAAAGTTCAAACTTCTTGCAAGTAACTTTTCTTACTTGATAGATGCTCTTTGAGTGATCCATTGCATGCATATTCGTACACAAGCAGTCCTTGAGTTCGTTGTATGCAGAATCCAAGCAACATGATCACATTCTTATGTCTGGCTCTGCATAGTCTGTAGACTACCTCTGATTTGAATGTCATATGCTCTTGAGAGCTTACAAGTCTTTGCTTCTTAACCACTATTTTGAGCTTACTTCGTAGCTGACCTCTAAAAGAGGGTCTTGATGAGTCACTTTTAGATAGAGAGTTGTGAGGTGAAAATCCATCTGTTGCAGCTGCCAGTTCTACATATCTGAAGTCTTTTCCTATTTCAATATTGGGCCTCCTGTTATTGCATATTGTGCATGTTGAACTTTCAGTTACTTGTTCAGGTTTCCTGTACTGTTTCATCAAATCTGCCTCGGGTATTGTGTATTGCATCAGTTCTGTATCTTTGCTCATATGATCATGTCCTGTTTGGTACGAGTATCATAAGATATTATATATTGCCAGTGTATTAAGAATTATGCTTAACTGTGAAGTACGATTAGCACTGGATATGATATTACATGTCGGTAATTTACATGTACACAAAAATATCAAAAGAGAACTCATAAATCGATCAAACTCCTGTACACAAAAAAAAAAAAATAGAGAATATTAAATTGTAATGGAATCAGTTTATCACTTACGAGAATGGAACAGTTCAATGCTGAAAAGATCCTCTTCTTGTGGGGATCCAGGCATCATCTCATCATAAGTAACAAGCCTGAGATGGCGTTCCTCTCTCAGAAGCTTGTAGGATTTTGTGGTTTTTGGTCCTCTCAGCTGTTCAATGCTCCCATTGCTCTTCATCCTTGAGATTCCACATGAAAGCCTCTTCAGGAAGTATTTCTTTTTTTTCTTCATCTGCCTATGCTACATAAAATTTAAATCCATTTCATTATCTGATGTCTTCATAATTGTGCATTTCTTTTCAGCAATGTGAAAGTGCAGAAGTTAGCTTATCTTTAAGCCACAATTGTTTAATATATTTTGTTACAGAACTCTATGTAATATTAACTTCTTTCAGTTCATAAATGTTTTCCTGACCGGTCAAGTATGATCCATGTTGACTTTAAGTTTTCAGCCGACCTTAACGCAACTGTCTTCGGTGAAGGTCCTGCAGCCACTTCTATTTTAAATTCAACCTGATCAGATACATGGAAAACATCTTATCAGCTCTTTAACTTCAAGGTATGTCCTCTTGTCCTCTGGTTTTTGTGGCTGGTTAACTAGCTTTTTAAGATGTCTCAAATTCTCAACTAATGAATATACGGATGCATAATAGATCATCAACGAAATGACTGCAGTTGTCTCTAAAGCATAAGAAAAACTCTTAGTTGTTAAATGAATGTGAGATAAAAGCTGCTTCTGAGAGCTTTACAAAGAGTTTATACAAGCCTGCATAATATATATATATATATATATCTATACACATTGATGATTAAGAAAGAAAAAATGGGTTTTAGTGGTTGCACTGTCTGTGCTCTCTAGTTGATGTATGCTTATGCCATTTTTCTAAAACTACTTACAGTTTATCAAGTGAGACCAACTGCAAGAATTCAGCAGTTTTTTTAATCAAATAATTGTTATTCATGAATTTGCAATTTTGCGACATACCTTGAACTTTTGGTATACATTGGAAATCTCAAGAAGTTCCATGTTATTCTCATACTCTTCTTTTTTCCTTGCTGCCGCAATGTTAACTTTTCTCTGTTTTGCCATACACATTGGAGAGCTTGAGTCTACTTTTTTCTTATATCCCACTACACAAGGGAGGAAAAAACACAATGTGAATAATTGACGAATAAAAAGTAACATCTTGGATCTATAGTTCAGTAACTTTGCTAACCAAACATTTGGCCCTCGAAAACTCACATCAAATTATTGGTAGTAAATTACTTGAAACTTTACATATATCTCTTTAGTCAAATTTTTTCTGAACTTTACATATAGCTCATTAGTCACGTTTTTTTCTGAACATATTATCGTAAGGGCAAAGCTTTTCCATCAATTGTAATTATGTCAGTAAACCAAAACTGGCTCTTGACAATTTTTTCTTGTCAACTTTGTCTTCTTGCTAGAGACGAAAACATGAATACTTACAGAGCTTTTTGCACCCCTGCCCCTGAGTATCAACGTAATGGAGAACTGCAAGAAGCGTGAGTGTATCTCCAGCCCTTAGCGATAAGCCATCAAGGGCCCAGGTGAGCGCACTGGGGCAGACTCCTTCAGATGCATCTTGAATCACCACCACTTTCTGTCGGTACATTTCTGCCACATATCTCTGCTTCAAGCTTTTCACTCTTCTCTTTTAACTAGAACTCTGGGCCTAAAGAATAGGGTAATAATAGTTTGAACTGTTTGTGTATAGCCAGCTTTGAGTTTCTGAAGAAGATTAGGATTAATTTAATGTTTCTATATGTCTAACCCATATCATACCGTACGTAAATTCCAATGATATATACACATGTTTAATCATCTTGCTGTCTTCTGACTTCATTTGCAGAAAAGGACATTAAAACAAGAAATTTTCAGATCATAACTAAGCTTTTATGTGTCTATTCCAAACTATGTTTGGCAGATTCACCACGACAGTCCTTGAATAAATCATCCAACACATTCTTTTCTTTATTTTTTGTAAGCAAATTATTATATATTTTTTCTTCTTAAATATCTATGACAGTTATACAAATTAGATCAAATTTGAAAATCAACTAAGAGAAGTATTGAGTAAAAATCAACCAAGAGTTTGTTCTGTGCTTTTTTTTTTAGTTATCAGTTTCCATATGACAAGTTGAGTGCAGGTCAAGACTCTGAGGGGCCACGCCGCCCTGCCGGGCTACCCTACTCTTGAGTGACTCCTTTACCCCGAAGAAAAGAGCTCTTCTGTTAAGTGAAGAGCTCATTTATTCGGTTCCTTTTTGAGTCAAATAAAGTCAAAAAAATCGTGGTTCCATAAGGATACTGGTGGTGGACAGAGAGAAGGCAGCCCTCGTTATATAACGTGGTCTCCCCTCCCTCTATCCCCGCCCCCTACAGGGGGACAACGGGTTATGTAACCATAACCTACGTACAATCTTTTACTTCCCCCCGGGAGGGCTTATTGATTATAGGAGCTTCAGCTCCGTATAATCTTATTTCTCCCTCCAAGAGTCCCTGATTAAATCAAGTTGATGAACTATATTTTGGAGAGAACATTGGAGGTACGAAACATCCAACAAGGAAATTATCTGAGTAAAATTTTCGTATTTTATTCTAATTCGAACAAAAAAAAAAAGTTTTAATGTCGATTTAGAACAAATTTCATTTATTTTCAACTTGATCCTTCACCATCTTGAATAATTTATTATTAAATGTATTTCGTTAAATATTTTACTATATTAATTATTTTTTTATTTTTCTTTTATATTTCGGGATATATTTAATATTCTCATTTATTTCTTTGAAACATAGGAAAAAAAAAAAAAATTCATACTTCACAAAACTACTTTTTAGAGTAAAAATAAATCGACAACACTACCATTGACATGGACAACCGTTTTTAATACAATATATCATATATATATTCTACTAGTTAAACTAAAATTATAATTCTTTCAAATTTGTATAATTACAGTGTGCATGCACTTCATGGATATATCAATCTTTTAACTTTATAGAAGAGAAATGAGGAGAAAGATTAAAACACTAATATTAGTTATAAAATTAAAATTTGTATATTTAATATTTATTTAAAAATAAATTATTAGATACATTTATTATTCTATGTACGAATATATATACGACAAAAAATAAAATAGATAAATATTTAAAATTACATGTATAAATTTATATGTGGTACGAAATTTATTCGATAATAATCTGATTTAATTCAATTAAATTTTATATATTTATTAAATATATTTTGATAATATCGTTACGATTTATTCTTTTAATTTTATTATGTCTTTTTTAAAACTCAAAGTTTCAAAGATTATGTTAGAATAGATCCGGTTAATGTAAGGCTGAAAAATTATAAAAAAGCAACTAAAAAATGTTAAATTTACAATAAAAGAAAACCTATTTATGAAACTATTGCTTTTCCTTAGCCCGGCCGGTTCAGTCGTTCTCCCGGTCTGTTCCGGTCGGGTAACACCCATAAACCGTCTGATTTTTCCCACCTAGCGATCAAATGGAATATCCCCAATTTCTCCCCGTGACTAGGGTTTTCTTTCCACTAATGTATAAATACTCACTCCTCCGCCTTACGTCATCCCTTTTCTCATTCTCTTCTTCGCATCGCAGCCAGCGTCCCTCACTCCCTCTTTGCTCTCTCGTTTTTGCTTACTCCGTCGTCATCAATGGCCGTAACTTTCTCAGATCTCCACACAGAGTCGGGCGTCAAATCTCTCGATGAGTTCCTCTCTGGAAAAACTTACATCTCCGGGTATTTTTCCATTTCCTTCTTCTCTGTTTTCAAATTTCACATTTCATGGTACAATGAACTTGATAATTGACGATTCTGGATACTGATCTTGCAGAGACCAGTTGACTAAGGATGACGTAAAGGCGTACGCTGCCGTTTTGGAAAAGCCTGGTGATTCTTTCCCCAATGCTGGCAGGTGGTACGAGCTTGTGTCCTCTCGGCTCGCTTCCAGGTTTGTTTTTCCGCACCTTCTTTTAGTCTTGTTACTGTGTTAATTCTAGTTTATTTGAGATTGGAGACTATGACTAATCTCTTTGTGGTGGCAGCTTCCCCGGGAAAGCTGTTGGTGTGAGAATTGGGGGCAAAGCTTCTGCACCTGAAGCTGTAGCTGCACCTGCCAAGGTAGCTGTTAAGTTTTTACCGTGCTTTGCCTTTTCTCTTAGTTTTAAGTTAATACGGACTTGTATCCTATAGAATTTAGGTGTCAAGTAGTTGTTTTATGACCCCTGAGTTGACGATTGGTACTGCCAATTGATTGTGGTAGAAATTTGAATGTATTGCTGTGGAATTGAGGGGAGTTGAATTTGTTCAATTATACATAAAAAATGAAAGTATAATTAAAACTTACAATCAAATGATAAGATATAGTAATAGGATGACAGTAGAGTATACCTGAATCGAATTGGCTTTAGTGTTAATGTGTTAGTTAGGTAAACTATTCTGAATCAGCGTATAAAACTAACAAACAAATTGAATATGATCCTTCCAAAACAAGCCATCTATCTTTAGGAATTGGGTTATTGTTTTTCTAATGTGGTATTTATTTGCATCGGCGTCGAATATGCTCGGATGGAAGAGGTTGATTTGTTTGAATTATGGTTGGAGGCAAACTGGTTTAAGGGCTGCATATTACTGGCTAATTCTCCTTCTTCCATGTGAATCTCAACATATATATTTTTTGGAAAAAGAAAGATGGATTTCAAGATTATTGATCTAATTCCTTCATCTTCTGTGGTTATCTCATGAAACTTTTAGGAGGCCCCAGCTGCAGATGATGATGACGATCTTGATCTCTTTGGTGATTATACAGAGGAGGACAAGAAGGCAGCAGACGAAAGGGAGGCAGCTAAGAAGGATAAAAAGAAGAGCAAAGAGAGTAAGTGCTGGTTTTGGATAGTGACTCCTCATGTCTAAATTCATTATTACATTCTCTGTTGTTATTTCAATTTATGCTTCTTTAACCAATCAAAAGCCAAAGTTTTTCAAAGATTTTTTTTTTTGTTGAGAAAACATTAAAAAAGGCATTTTCCCCCATTGGCATACATTGGATAATCAGCACTGTTTTTAGAATGCTTATGGAGCTATATAAGAAACTTAAGAATTAACTGGTTAAACTCTATATGAAAAGACTGTGTAACAGATTTATTTTAATTTTTAATTCAATAAACTAATAAGATAATTACCCTAAATTGTAATAATTTTATCTAACAAGTATAACATTTAATTTGTAAACCAAATAATTAAATAAAATAAGTTAATAGAGCAAAATAGAAGATGATATTCAGTATCAAAGTTATATAAGAATATTGAAGAGTGGGAAAAATGGTATTTCATGGGGAAAGTGTAGGAAAAAATAAGAGAAACTTACTAATTATTGATATGTGGGAAGGAGAGAGGCAACGTTGGGGTACAATGGAGTTTGGAAGGTTTTCTTTATGAGTTTGCAAGGTTATATTTGTGACTTTCAATTTTTAAACCAATCACAGAAAATGGAAATTGATTTCTGGCTGCAAACCAAATTGATTTCTTAGCTTTTGAGGAGTAGTGTAGCCTAGTGGATCAAGGAAGTGGATTGTGAATCCACCATGTGTCAGTTCTGTAGCCGAGCTACAGAGAGATTGGGGGAAGGTTAATAGGAATGCCCTGCTTGTTCACAAAGTAACAGCTAGTGAATCCACCCAACAATCCTTACTGAACTGACTTCAGACTGGATAATGAATCATCTGATGAATCTTTCCTTCAAGACTTTCCACATAAGGGCTAACTTGCTTGATCCTAGGCCAGGAAGCAATGGATGGTTTGGAACAGCAATGGGAGAGAGCTTGTAGTGAATCTCCTTCTCCCACCTCTTGGCCCCATGCGCATCCCCATATCTATTTCTTCCCCAGCCAGGGGGAGGCGGAGGATTGTTTTTGAAGAAATAGATATACTTCTGCAAGTAGTTTGCTTGTGCTTAATCTTTATTGATTTTACTATAAAATCATATAACGCAAGGACTTGTTATAAGCTATTTCATCAATAGTGTTGCGTCAAAATCTTGATATTTGAGCGTCTAATTTTATGTTGTTGTTGCAATTTACCAGTTTGAGTGCAGATCCATTATATGCTCCTCACATATCTTGTCATCTTATGCTAAATTCTCCATTTCTATAGGTGGGAAATCTTCTATACTTATGGATGTGAAACCTTGGGATGATGAGACTGACATGAAGAAGTTGGAGGAGGCTGTAAGGAGTGTTGAGATGCCTGGTCTCTTCTGGGGAACATGTATGTTTAATCCCTTAACAATCTATATACAGAAATATGGCATAACGCACTTTCCAAGTAACTACATTGTTTAACCGGAAATTTCTGCATTGGCATTATCGCAGCTAAATTGGTTCCAGTTGGGTATGGCATAAAGAAACTGCAGGTCATGCTCACTGTTGTGGATGACCTTGTATCAGTTGATTCACTTATAGAGGAACATCTCACAGTTGAACCATGCAATGAATACGTCCAGAGTTGTGACATTGTCGCCTTCAACAAAATCTAAAATTATTCCTCTCTATCGAAGTAACTGCTTCTGAAGTAGCCAGTTTTCGCCGGTAATTTAGTTTACGTCAATAGCAATCTCTTATATGTTTCTTATTTTTTCCTTTACCTGGTCTTTGCCTTCTGATTGTGTACTGTGTTTCATGAACTGAGAAGTTTTAAAAAGAAAAAAACTTTTTAAGCTTCATTTTTGCATTGCCTTGTGGCTGCATGACATGTCTGTTATATTTTTATCCTGCTAGCCTGTGCAAGTGGATGATTTGTTCCCAATGAATCTGGTTTTTCTTCAGCACTATCATTTGAGACTTCTTTTGGAATAAGCGTAGAAATTTATTTGTAAATTTATACTTAGTTGATTAAAGGGTGAAAAGTTCTACCGAGACATGAAAGGAAAAGATAGGAATTTTAACATGAAATAATATGATACAAGCTTTGACACAAATTATGTGAATTTGAACACAACATGAAACACAAATGGGCATTTTGACATGACATGACGCAATAAAACAGCCATTTTGACATGATATGAAACAATTTGATTCGAATGGTAACATGAAAAAATAGAGTTCTAACTTGAAATGGTACGAGTTTGGTAAAAATTTTAATTCCAAAAAATAATGTAAAATTTAAGAAGATATGAAACTGTACAATCAAATTTTGATATAAGATGATAGTGTGCTTCCTACTCCTCGTATGATATATGACACAAAAAAAATATTAAATTAAATAATGTCACATGTCAAATTTAGTGACATGTGGCAAGTATGCCAACACCATTAATAAAAACTATTGGATACGGAGTAATGTAATTAAATTTTGAAAAAGCAAAAATTTATAGAGGATCAAACCAAATAAAATAATATAAAGACTAAAATAATACTTATGTCTAATTTCAAAAAAAAATATGTATAGTGTCAATCCTAATTCACTTGGCTTTATTCCTTATATTTTATTTACATTTAACTAAATTTTCATATATAAAAATGTGCAAAAAAATCCCAATGTACTTATTACATAACAAAATTGGAATTCATATTTGTTTGTATGAAGGTCTATTTATAGGCTTAAGGAGGCACTCGAAGTCATTCAACCTCCACCTCCACCTACCAAAAGCTCTATAAAAGATTCATAAAATCCTGTAAAATTTCTAAACCAACTCTCGTCGCTCTTTATCGATTCAATAATATTACACATTTTTCTAATACATCTCCATGAGAGGTCACTCGTATCCTTTTTGATCAAGTCATCTAGTGTTGCATTAAATTTCGAGAGACTGAGTTATGTATGCTTGAGCAAAATTTAATAATTCTGAAGCATTAAATTTGTTTATTATTATTATGACGATTTTTATTATGTAAAAAAGTATTTCAGATTTTTGTCTTGACTGCACATTCGTTTCGTGATAGACTTACTATATTTTTTTATTATATA